GGTTTGAGATGATACTGTAAAGGATAACTGCTGTCTCCAAACCAAAGATAGGTACTTACGTACGTAAAGTGCGGAGATGAATATCTTGGTCATAAACATCTATGGTTTTGGAGAAACTGTGAGCCACAGCTGCCTGTGGAAAAGGCCAGTAAATACTGAAATTCAGGCTGAAACCAAGAAATATGCCACTAAAAAGAATTTTTTCTTTGCAAGAGAGAACAAAGAGAGTGTGAGAGAGAAGATGGTAAAAGAAAGAAAATGAAATGCATATGGAAGAAGAACAAAAATAACCTTCCCACTTGCCTTCCAAGAGTTCAACTCAACTTAAAAGTGCTTTAGAGTTCATTTGAATACCCAATATGACATTGAGAATAATAGAAACTTACTATTTGTGCTCAGGTATGTTGACTAGCTGAAGTTATTTAGCTTAATAAGCAATAGATACATGGGGCAAAAAGTAAGCCGACGTTACATCTAGAGGCAAGGAGATTATTTTGAGAAAGTTTTTGCCATCATTTCACATTTCTCAGTATAACGTAGACAAAAAGTAAAATTTGTTCCGAGCAGCAGATAGTCTAGCTGGAAAACTCTCAGGCAAAGGACACAAGCTATATTGAAGCACACCGGAAGATATACAACAGCAAATGGATAGCAAACTAATCAGAAGACAAGGACAAGGGCCACCCTCCACCCCAATTCTCTCTAATTTGCACCCACAAGCACACATACAATAGTTTTCATACAAACTTTGCCAAGCAGGAAGAAGCTTAAAGATGTGAGACGTCAGGATTAAGGAGTACAAACTCAAATCTAGCAGATACATGAGATCAAATACCATGGACCATTGAGTAGGGTTGAAGCAAAGGCCTGCCCAGCTACCTTCTCCAACACCACAATCTCGAGGAGAGACAGAATACGTAAGCCTGTTGACATCTGAAAAAAGAGCACTTGATCAAACCACAATCAAAATATCATGCTTGATAAGAATAACTCACTAGTGAAATTCAATGTCTGGCCCATGTTAAAATCACATTACACAATTTTGCTTAGATCTAGTCTAATTAGCAAAACTATCAGTTTATCTAATCAGTTTTAATCAAGAAGCAAGTTGGTAAACAACATCACTCATACATTAGATTATACTACTCTAAGCTCAGCATCTTTAGTTAAATTATAATAAAACTAAACAAGTGAGCATGTTGGACCACATAACTAGTGAATTTAGTTACTAACAGTTGCTTAACGCCTATATCCATAGAGAAAATTTAGGTCTGCCAGGAGCTACACCAAAATAAACTGTTAATGTTTATCCGAATCCACCACCATATAGTTCCGTGATGAAAATGAAACAGGAGAGATACCTTTACCACTGGCATCTAATCTTGAGACAATAAGGTGACCATAAGAATCCACGCTTCCCAGTGTTAAGCAACCAGTGCCTGTAGAGAGCTAGACATAACATCAAGTTGTTGACAGGTAGAGGGTAGCTGCTTCAAGTACTTAAGAGAAAAAAAATCACTTGTAAACTAATGGAAAAACCGCAGTGCATAAAATAATGAAGATAGAAAAGAAGCAAAAGCAGCAAGTGCTTAAAAGGAAACGAGGTAGAAAACCCTTCAGATGTACAAGACCACAGTATGGTACAAATAGTTTCTAACTTAAGAAAAAAGTTTTAATACTAGTTTTATAATTCAATGATGTGATACGACAGACCATTCCCGTAGTTTCTTTTTCTAATTCCCCTTCTCTGTCTCTCTATCTATATGTATCACTGTCTCCCTCACATCATTTTCTTGGGTGGAAAGTAGAGTGAACTCCTTTATCACCATGCCTTATTTCAATACCTTAGGAGGATTATTTCAGAATAAGAGAATAGCAACAAACTTTTCAGTAAATCACAAGAGCTGCCAAATATTCAAAAGCTAAATATCACTTAATAATGCAAGTGCAACTCATGGAAATCAGAAGATATTCAGCATGTCTCCAGATCTTACTTTCAGTTTCAGCTAGCGCTATGCTTTGGATTTCTGACCGATGGGGGCAGTGATTAACCACTGAGGCCTCTAGAACCTTCACATGAACGTCATTGTTAAGCAAAATCACAATTTTCTTCTTGCATCATGACAAAAGAAATGACAAGTTTACCTCACATTGTTCAGGAATTAGGAGGTCCCCCTTTCCTAGGTTGATCAGTGAACTTTTCATTGGAATCTGTACAGTGAAGATGAAAATAAAATGAACTACTCTTTCTTGTCTGTCAAACATGTCTATCAAAAACATGCTTGTAAAAGTGTTAGTCAGCTAATAACCTGCAAGAATGTGTGTCAAGTCAATAATGAACTTATTCTCTTTTATAGACAACATAACTACAACAATAATAACCGAGGAAGAAATGAAATAACTACATGACAACAATCTGCAATCCGACAGAGTAGCTTATTCAACTTCCCCCACCCCCGACCCCGAACCAATCCTCAATCTGTCTCCCTATCTCTTCTTGTCACCTTTACAAATCACAAACAGAAGGCGTAAATTGCGTGTGCAGGGTCATATCAACAGGGGCAGATCTATAGTGTTAGCTATACGTTCACACGAATCCTGTAGCTTTCGCCCAAGCCCTGTATATGTATTAAGAAATCCACTATCAATAAATATTTCACTGTGAACCCAGTTATTGTTGTATATTAACTTGAGGTTGCTGTCGGAACTCATAAACTTAAAATTTTGGAGCCTCTTGGATATTAGACATGCAAGTAATAAAATTATAATAACTGGAAAGACAATATCAGATTTTCCCCTCTCTTAAACGGGGCAAGAGAACAATTGCAACTCAGTTTAGCATTCTAGAATTCATCTGGGACAATAAAAAGAACCAAAAAGAAAAAATCTAACCTGAATATAATACATATAGAAAGTTGTGATTTTGACATGCATATATGAGAACTTTTTAAAATCTTGCACATGTAACATACATATACACAAGTGTAAAGCATGTCTTTATACAACTAAAGGACTTACAAGAAGTCTGTAAATATGGCAACCAGAAGCTACATAGACCCAACAAGAAGAATTGTTATCATCATTCACCTGCTCTCAGAAAAAAACGAAGTTTTTAAAATGAATAGCGAAAAATGGAAATAGGGGGGGAAAAAAAGGCAATTAGTACAACGGACATGAAGGGCAAGACGAGTAGACTGGAGATTGCCAGGGGAAGGATGATCAATAAGAGTGGAAGGAATCACTGCTTTCTTCAACCAATTTGCTTTCAACTCCACCATCACTTCTCTCTCTCTCTCTCTCTCTATCTCTGTCGCTCGCTCGCTCGCTGCTGCAGTTGCTGCTTCTGGTTCTATGGGTTTGCTTCAAAGTCCAACAATTAGAAAAACTAGGGAAAAGAAAAGAAAAACTTAAGGAGTGTTATAAAAAAATATCAAATTAGAATGAATGTCTATTCTCCCTCCGTGATTTTCATCTCAAATCTTTAATAATGACATATTTTTTTTTATGTTTAATGACATATTCAATAACATATTTTCTTTATTTTTCATGCCTATATAAAGACCTTGTAATAGATAGGAAAATGCACACAATTGAAGAAGAAATAAAATCTCTTATCTCTTTCTCTATATATCTCTTAGCTTGTTTTTCCTTGTTCCATATTGTTACTTTGAGTTATATTTTATAACACCTTATCAGCACGAAGTTCTAGCCATCTGAGTTGTTATGATGCGGTCAGTGCCGGTAGCGTCATTTAATATTAATAATATGGTAAGAACGATGATAGTATAAGGTGTACAACGCCAGCATATATTCGGCCATCACGATTAGCCTTTTCTAATTAGTTTTCAAGTTTCTTTACACTTTGCTATTTATGTTTCCATACATGAACAAACTTGCTTTACGGAAAAAAAATTCTTGAAAGTTCATCAAATCATGTAAGAATTTTTGGTGTAAAGAACGATAAATAATTTCCCTATAATAAGTATTATGTTCCTATGTGTTTTGAGAGAGCACATATTTTTCCTTTCTATTTTGTCACATATCTCTTCCATCTTAAAGTGGGATAATTATCACAAAGGACACGTAGATTTTAATTAATTATGTATTTTTCTATATTTGCTTGATACTTTTTATTTGATTGAGTCGAGTTAATGAAAGTTCGCATATGCAAATTAAATTCAATCGCCACCAATAGTGAAAACCCATCACATAAGTCTAAAATAAGACATAATGTTATCGTGGAGGTATGAATGGATGTGTACGTGGTAATGGACGAAATTATAATCGTCATCATTATGGTAATGAGAACAATAATTGCTCTCAAAATAATCCTTCACTTTGTGAAAGTGATGTTTGTCATTGATATGGCATGAGATTTTATAAAGCACACGTGGATTATTATGTTCCATTCCTAAAGTGAATGTGAAAACAATGTGATAATCATTATGAATACATATTCATCTTGAAAGAATATGAACGTGCTAGTGGTAGTAAATATACCACACTCACCTCGAGAAGGGGTTTTGAGATGAAATAAGAAAATAATGTCATTATTATGGCATAAATGGTCATTGGTCACGTACCTATTGTACGCCAAAATATTTTGGCAATGTGATTATTAAAGGACAATAATAATGCAAGAAACACATCTTGCATCTAATTTTGACCATGACCACAATGGTATAACTCTCTCTTTAAAAGAGATATTCACCATATAGATGTTGATGAATATATGGTAGTACAAAATTAATTGAAGGCTATGGAAGAGCTACTATAACTCTGCCTAAGGGAACAATACTTATCATAGAGAATGCAATGTTCTCCTCCAAGTCCAAGAGGAACTTGTTGAGTTTTAAAGATATCCACCGAAATGGATTTCATATTGAGATAATAGATGAGAATAATCTCAAATATCTCATCATTACCAATAATGTCTCTGGCCAGAAAAAGGGTTATTAAGAAGTTCCCATCTTTATCTTGTGGCCTGTATTGGACAAGAATAGTGCAATTGAGGAACATTCTATCGTAAACCAAAAGGTTACTAATTCCAATACTTTTGTACTTTGGCATGATCGATTGGGACATCCCGAATCAATTATGATGAGACGAATTATAGAGAACTCAAATGGGCATCCATTTAAGAATTTAAAGATTCTTTTAAATAATGAATTTTCTTGCACTTCTTGTTATCATGGCAGGTTGATTATTAGACCATCACCAATAAAGATTGGGGTTGAGTCTCCTGCGTTTTTGGAACGTATACAAGGGGATATTTGTGGACATATTCACCCACCTAGTGGGCTGTTTAGATATTTTATGGTCTTAATAGATGCATCTTCTAGATGGTCTCATGTATTCCTATTGTCATCTCGCAACCTGGCATTTGCAAAATTAATGGCACAAATAATCGGATTACGGGCACAATTTCTCGATAATCCAATTAAGTCTATTAGACTTATAATGCCACTGAGTTTTCATCCCAGACATTTAATGATTATTGCTTATCAATTGGAATAAAAGTGGAACATTCTGTAGCTCATGTTCACACTCAAAATGGCCTTGCAGAACCTTTAATTAAACGTCTGCAATTGATAGCAAGACCATTACTCATGAAAACCAAGTTACCCACTTCAGTCTGGGGTCATGCCATTTTGTATGCAGCAATGCTAATTCGTCTCAGACCGATAAATTATCATAAATATTCCCCGTTACAATTAGTTTTGGGTCATGAACCTAATATATCCCATCTAAGAATTTTTTGATGCGTTGTATATGTGCATGTAGCACCGCCATATCGCACCAAGATGGGTCCCCAAAGAAGGTTAGGAATATATGTTGGGTTTGAATCGCCCTCCATTATTCGCTACCTTGAAACATTAACGGGAGATTTATTCACTGCTCGATTTGCAGATTGTCGGTTCGATGAGGCATTTTTCCCAATTTTAGAGGGAGAAATTGGTGAAACCAAAGGTGAAATTTTGTGAAAAAATACATCATTGTCTCATTTTGATCCGCGTGCCTCTATTTGTGAAAAAGAGGTGCAAAAGATTATCCATTTGTAGAAAATAGAAAATCATATGCCAGATGTATTTACGAATCTGATAATGAATCACATATCCCTGCAGAGAATGTTCTAATCCGTATTGATGTCCATGTTGGAAAATCTTCTAGTGTCATAGCTAATGAGTCAAAAGCACGCCTAAAGCGTGACAGACCACTGGGTTCTAATGATCGAAATCCTAGAAAAAGGAAAATAAATGATCAAGATAATACTACGAAAGAGTCTCATAAAGAAACCCATAATTTAACCAATCATGAGATTCATGAGGATATCGATGAGCCTGAGACACAAGAAAATAAGGAACTATCAATAAATCGAATCGATATTGAGACAAATTTGAATCAATCGAATATAGTGGTAGACTATGTCTTTGCATACAATGTTGCATCTAGTATTATGCAAGATAATGAGGATCTTGAACCTCAATCTGTAGGAGAATATTGACAAATACGTGATTGGCCAAAATGGCAAGAAACAATCCAATCTGAGTTGGATTCACTCGAAACGTGAAGTTTTTGGGTCTGTTGTCCAAACACCTAATGGTGTTAAACTTGTTGGATATAAATGGGTCTTTGTAAGAAAAAGGAATGAGAAAATGAGGTACAAAGATATAAGGCACGCCTTGTTGCACAAGGATTTTCACAAAGGCCTTGTGTCGATTATGAAGAGACGTATTCTCTTGTTATGGATGCTATAATGCTCCGTTATCTCAGTAGTCTTGCTGTCCGTGAAAAGTTTGACATGCATTTAATGGATGTGGTTACAACCTACCTTTACGACTCACTTAATAATGAGATATATATGAAAATTTCCCAGGGATTTAAAATGCCTGATGCACATAATTCAAAATCCCGGAAAATATTTTCAATCAAATTGCAAAGATCTTTGTATGGTCTAAAGTAATCAGGAAAAATGTGGTATAACCGCCTTAATGAGTATTTATTAAAGGAAGGTTATATAAATGATGTAATTTGTCCATGTATTTTTATAAAAAAAATAACATCGGAGTTTGTTGTACTTGTTATGTATGTTGATGACATAAACCTTATTGGAACTCCTTCAGAACTCCAAAAGGCAATTGATTATTTAAAGAAGGAATTCGATATGAAAGATCTCAGAAATACAAAATTATATCTTGGTTTGCAAATTGAACATTTGGTAAACAAGACTTTTGTTCATCAATCTGCCTACATAGAAAAGGTATTGAAATAATTTTACATGGATGGAGCACATCCATTAAGTACTCCGATGATTGTTCGATCACTTGATGTGAATAAGGACCCGTTCCGACCTCAAGAAAAGAATGAAGAACTTCTTGGTCCTGAAGTATCATATCTTAGTGCAATTGGTGCACTAATGTATCTTGCTAACACTACAAGGCCTGACATAACTTTTTCAGTTAATGTCTTAGAAAGATATAGCTCTGCTCCTACAAGGAGATATTGGAATGGAATTAAACACATATTGCGGTATCTAAAATGGACTCCAGGCTTATTTTATTTCAATGATTGCAGCCCTGATCTTGTTGGTTATGTAGATGTTGGATATTTATCTGACCCACACAAGGCCTCAAATTGGCTATGAGTTTACATGTGGAAGCACTACAATATCTTGGCGATCGACTAAGCAATCAATTGTGGCTATTTCATCTAATCATGCTGAGATAATTGCTATTTATGAAGCAAGTCGAAAATGTGTATGGTTGAGGTCTATAATACACCTTATTCGAGACAAATGTGGTTTAAAGTATGACAAATTACCCACAATTTTGTATGAAAACAATACAGCATGCATAGCCCAACTGAAGGGAGGATTCATAAAAGGAGATAGGACAAAACACATTTCACCAAAGTTATTTTTTACACATGATCTTCAAAAGAATGGTGATATTAATGTGCAATAGATCCGTTCAAGTGATAATATGACTGATTTATTTACCAAATCTCTACCGATACCAACCTTCAAGAAACTAGTGTACAAGATTGAGATGCGAAGGCTCAAGGATGTGAATTGATGCTCTCATCAGGGGGTAGTTAATACGCGATGTACTCTTTTTCCCTTACAAGATTTGTCCCACTGGGTTTTCCTTGCAATGTTTTTAATGAGGCAACCAAAAAGCGTATTTCTAAACATGTGTACTCTTTTTCCTTCACTAGAATTTTTTTTCTAATAAGGTTTTAACGAGGCACATTATCTATGAACATCCAAGGGGGAGTGTTATAAGAAATATCAAATTATGGTGGATGTCTACTCTTCCTCCATGATCTTTATCTCAAATGCTTAATGACATATTCAATGACATATTTTCTATGTTTAATGAGATATTCAATGACATATTTTCTTCACTTTTCATGCCTATATAAAGGCCTTGTAATAGATAGGAAAAAGCACACAATTGAAGAAGAAATAAAATATCTTCTCTCTTTCTCTATATATCTCTTACCTTATTTTTTCTTGTTCCATATTGTTACTTTGAGCTATATTTCATAGCAAGGAGAAAAATTATATGTAATTCCTTTATAAATGTATCTGTTTTTCAATTAAACATCAAGAAAGATATTCTTTTAATAGTATTTTAATGCCGACAGAAACTTAATAAAATTTAGAGTGTGTTTCGTTAAGCTGCCAAAAATTACTTATTTTGAAAAGTAATTTTATTCAAAAATACTTCTCGAAAAAGTACTTTTAGAGATAAACATTTTGTGTTTGGCCAATCTTTCTAAAAAGTACTTTTGAATACCAAATTACGATAAAGGACAGTAAAGATTTACCTTACAAATAATATTATTTTAAAAAAAGAAATTTTAAATATTTATTATAGAAGATTTTAATTAATTTTTAATTTTTATGTAATTAAATTATATATAAAACATAAAGTAATATATATTAAAGATTTAATCAATATAAAATATAAGTATATAAAAGCAATAATATTGGTAGAATCATATATGCAAGCAAGTTACATCTATGCAAAACACTATCAATTCTTGAGAAAACTACAAACTAAGTAGTATTGCATTGTGTCAACTATATTATACGCATGCATGCCAAAAAGAAAATATTAATAAAACTACAAACTGGAGATCGATCATATAATATTGGTATACTATAAAAGAAAAAAAAATCATACATTATGAAAAAAGTACTTGAATTTGGCGATTAGCCTTGTTATTTTAAAGAGTAATAGGAGATAAAGAAAATAAGAAAAGATAGAAGAGAAAAGAAGAGATATATATATAATAGAGAGATTATTCCAAATAAGAATAAGAGAAGAAGAATAAAATACTGTGAAAATAAAAAAGAGAAAATAAAAAACTAAAGGTTAAATTAATAAGGAATAATTTGGGCATTATAGTTTTATGTTAAGGATATTTTTGTCATTAAAAACATAATTTTTTGCTTCTGCTTCTGCTTCTTAGAAGAAGCTAGACTTTGTAACTTCTTCCCAAAAGTAGAAAAACCGTTTTTGCTGCTGCTCAAAAATACTTTTCTGTTTTGGCCAAATACCTCATATTTCTAAATAAGCACTTTTTCTGAAGAAAAAAAATATATTTTTGACCTCCTAAAAACTTGGTCGAATAAGCTCTTATTATTGTTTGGTACAAAAACAATTTTGTAAAAGAAAAAAAGATGATTGAAAATCTGTTCCAAAATTTTAAGCAAACGCCTTGGTTTAATTGGGGCTAAGTTTTAGTATTTCAAAACATGAGATGAGGGGGAAAAACTAAAGTAACTAAATGGCTAGCGTATACTAAAAACTATGGGTGTACAAAGAAAATCGATAAATCGCATCAAATCGATAATCTGAGTCAAACCGTAAAAAAAAAAACCAATTGTGATTTGGTTTGGTGTTAGGAAAAAATCCCGACCATAATTGGTTTGTTTTAGTTTTAACTAAAAAAAGTCAAAACCGAAACCAAACCAACCCGACATTACATATATATAATTTTTAAAAATATTTTATACATATAAATATTTATTGTAATATAATTTATAAATATTTTTTAAACTTGTTCACAATTTTATCTCTTTAAATGTATTATTTAAAGTTTGGACTTAACCTTCTTGAATAATCCAATAAATTTTATAGCCCATAAAGGTAGTAGGTCAAATAAAGTTCAAATCAATACTAATACTAATAAAGAAAATTCAATTCAACACTAGGAATGAGTAATGACAATAGTGTTGGATATTTATTTTTTAGTTTTTCATTGGTTTATAATGAAAATGCATAACTTAGTTTATTTTTTTCTTTAGTGCTTAGTTGTGTAATTAATACGTAGTACTTATTAGCTGTATTTATTTTAGCATGACCTATATAATATTTTTAGATTATGTTAATTTTTATTATGGCGTATTAATTAGTAATATTTTCTTTATGCGTTTTTATTATCTTTGTTATTGATTATTTTAGTACGGTGCTACGACTCATCTCATATTATTATGTTATTTTCTTGAAAAATACATTATATAATTGTATCTTACTAAGATTAAAAAAATATTTGGAGAAAAAGTTACATATTTTGTGATATGGAAGACTTTGTCGGGAAAAAATCCGAAAACCATAGTCCCCTCAAAAGTTACATATTTTCCCCGATTAGATAATAACACCGATATTATTGCAATCTACCACGTTATTATTATGACATGAAAAGAAAAACATAGTCCTACCCAATTTAGGAAGTTATAATCGGTAAATGTAATAAAACAAAGAAGACAGAAGTTATAAAACGATATCCTAATCCTATTGCACTTTGGTTTTCTTAGACATCTATATATACGTACTACCCCACTCTCAAGGACACCATCTCAACATAATCTTCCTTCTGTTTCTCTTTCTGCATATTTTCTTCGATACAGTTGCACAATTCATGGCTGGTGGAAACTTTGCTTTTGCCGGTGGCGGCGGCATTAATCCGGATGAGTACACAGGGAAGCTAACGTGGTACGTGAAATGGACTTGTATTATGGCAGCCATGGGTGGTTTGATCTTTGGGTACGACATTGGAATTTCAGGTGGAGTTACTTCTATGGCTCCTTTTCTCCAACGTTTCTTCATGTCTGTTTACCGAAAAGAGGCACTGAACACCTCGACCAACCAATACTGCAAGTTCGACAGCCAGTTGTTAACCCTTTTCACATCTTCTCTCTATGTGGCTGCCCTTTTTGCGTCCATTGCTGCTTCTCATGTTAGTAAAAAATATGGCAGAATACGTAGTATGATCCTTGGAGGTCTCTTTTTCTTATCAGGCGCCGTCCTCAACGCTGCTGCTATCCACATTAGCATGCTCATCTTGGGTCGTATCCTTTTAGGGATTGGTGTCGGATTTGCTAATCAGTCTGTCCCTATTTATTTGTCCGAGATTGCTCCACCCAATTACAGAGGTACTTTCAATGTCTTATTCCAATTGTCCATCACGGTCGGGATTCTGATAGCGAATTTAGTGAATTTTGGAACGGACAAGATTTCTGGTGGTTGGGGTTGGAGGGTTAGCTTAGGAGGTGCAGCCGTGCCAGCATTAGTCATCTTGTTTTCGTCAATGTTTCTTTCTGATAGTCCGAGTTCTTTGATCGATAGGGGAATGGAAAAGGAGGCCAAACAATTGTTAAGAAAGATAAGAGGAGTTGATTATCCTGAAGCAGAGGTGTTGCGTGAAATGGGCGCCGCGGTGTTGCTTGAAAAGATCAAAGCAGTTAAGAGTGTTGAAGCAGATCAGGAGTTAATTAAAGAGATCAGAGAAGTTATTAATGTCGAAGCTGAATTTAATGACCTTTTGATGGCGAGTGAAGCATCCAAGAAAGTAGAAGGGCCATGGACCAACCTTGTATTCGTTCGAAAGTACAGACCACAGTTGATATTGTCAATTTTGATTCCATCATTCCAGCAACTCACAGGAATTAATGTGGTCATGTTCTATGCTCCTGTACTTTTCCAAACATTAGGATTCAAGAGCAATGTTTCGCTTATCTCCGCTGTCATCACTGGGCTTGTCAACTTGCTCGCGACTTTTTTTTCAGTCTATGGAACCGATAAGTTTGGCAGGAGAAAATTGTTCTTTTACGGTGGCATCTTCATGTGTTTATTCCAAACTGCACTGGCAGCTCTTATTGGGGCAAAATTTGGAACAACAGGGAATTCCGGAGTTTTACCTCATTGGTACGCAGCTTTAGTGGTTTTATGCATATGTGTATTCGTGGCTAACTTTGCATATTCATGGGGTCCGTTAGGATGGTTGGTTCCGAGTGAGATATCTCCATTGGAAGTTCGATCTGCAGCACAATGCGTTACTGTGTCCATGAACATGTTTTTTACGTTTCTAGTGGCTCAAATTTTCTTGAAGATGCTTTGTGGGATGAAGTTTGGTTTATTCATATTCTTTGCGGCCTTTGTGTTTATAATGACTATGTTTATCTACTTGTACGTGCCCGAAACCAAGAACATACCTATTGAAGAGATGTCACAAATTTGGAGAGAGCATTGGTTCTGGAAGAAGTTCGTAGATGAAGATGGAGAATCAAAGCCACAAGGGAATGGAACAAAGCTTAGAATGGAAGTAGTCTGAGTCTGAGTTTAGATTACTGGTTTTTAGAGTATCTGTTTTCTCTTTTTAGTGTTTTGGAACCGGTGTGCTCTACTTTGTTTTTGACTTTGTAACTACTTACTATAGTTTTTATTTAATGGCATTGTTTTTCCTTTTTTGTTCAATATATTCTTGTTTTCAACATTTTATCATTCTTTGTGGTGAGAAGCAGAGTGGTCATTGATACTTAGTCGAAATAACTCAAATTCAGCACCTTAGGAAAATGGCATTCTGGAGCTCCAAAATTGTAATCAGCTTATAACTTGGAATTTTCAATCATACCATAACGTTTTCTGGTTTCTTGTTAACTTTAGTTCCCAACAAGGCTACTAACTCTACGACTTATTAATTAGGATAAGGTTACAAAGAAAAGCTAACTTATGTTCAACTTCCATAAATCTCGAGGGCCAAATGTATCTTCATATGCGACAGCAATCCTATGTGCTTTTACTTGGAAGGGATAAGTTGATGTGCAGTAACATTGTGAAAAGGCAAATATGAGGTGGTAATCATGTTATCCCTGAGGCAGTCATTGGTAATAGATTGACCAAAGCTTCTCTTTACAGGCACAGACTTGTATATTTGCTACAGTAATAGGAAAGAAAATCACATTAATAGAATAATATATGATGATGCTAAGCAACAAAGTTACACCACTAAGGTACTGAACTGATAATGCTGCAGGACAGTTTTTTAGCCTCTTCATATCAGAACTCAAGCTCCTACAAATTGAATTAAACCATTTGGCGTTTAGGAAATCGATGTATACTCTAATTATAAGACATGCCAAATTTTATATCCATTTCATCAAAACCGGAAACGACGTTCATAAATACATGAATTATTAAGAAAGTATGAAGAAAACACCTTAAAAGATGAACTTAGTTATAAAGATGGGATGGTAGTTTCGGTTGTATGATAAAAGAGAGTGGTAACTTTAGATGAGTAGTCAACCCAAATTGTTCCTCCATGCTTACATCTTCAGGCCTCATGTTATGATCAGCCAATTTCCAGAAGAAGGCATTGGTGTGATACTATCCATTTCTCAAAAGAGTGTTTAATTTGTCTCACTTGTACAGATAGTAGACAAGTACCATATAAAGATTGAGGGGAAAAACAAGAAAAATGAGGTTGCAAAAGATAACAGAGAAAAGGAGGAGGAAAAACTACTCCCTCCGTCCCCATTTATGTGGCACTATTTGGATTTTGAGAGCCAAACAAAAAAAAATTACCATAACTTTTTCACAATTCTTGAATGGTTAATTACTGTGACTTATAATACTTTTTTACGTAGTTTCTAATCATGTAAATTTATTTTATATTGTTCGAAATTTTCTTATTAAAGTTCTTGTCACTTAGCACCATTCTACTTATAGAAGAAAGACTATAACGCAACAATCTCCTAGTGCAATTGGCTTCCCTGAGAGAGCCACAAGTCTAGAAATCAAAGCATTCCTTTCTTCAATACGAATCCAGCCTTTTTTGGTTAAATAACTCTTCAACATATAGCTAGCTAGTGTACTTACTAGCAGCAGTCTGAGGGCGAGATGCAAAGATGATGTCATGAGTTTTCAACATTTGTTTTGCCATTTCTGGGGGAGGATCCTATCACAACCGGGCGTGAACCAAATTTTAGAAACATTACATCTCCATATATTTGGGATAATTTGTGTACAGATTGGTGAGGTAGAGAACCAAGTTGATGCAAACTGCCAATAATAGGCCATGTTTTTGGACCTGGAGGAGGCTTCTAATGAAAATTTAATGTTGGAAAGTGTGTTCGGAAGTAAAAATCACTTATGCCGTAGGAAAAGAATTCGAAGGTATTCTTCCTCCTCCTAACAAACATATAATTTGCTTTTTCTCTTTATCTGTTTTTTCACTTCTTTTGTCATCTTTCTTTGACTTTTTCTTTCTTCTTTCTTTTACATGTGCGTGGTCTTTTTTTCCATCACTTAATGCTACTACGAACGAGAATCTAAGATGAGCCAAGCAATACTTTCCATTTTGGATGAAATTGAGGAGGATGACATGGAATTATATAGATGAGATAGTTCATCTTTTCAATTTTTTTTTTTCGAAAGTTGAAGTACACATTTGGAGCACGTGTATACTACTACTGGAAAATGTTGAGCAAATTGCATTATATACACAGGCTGCAGATCGATGAGTCGCGACAAAAAAGAGAGCCAAGAATTCAACGGAATTTTTACCGATGTTTTTGAGCAAAATTCAGGTGGTAAATATATTAGAGATGTATGAAATTCTATGGAATGTTCTATATGTTCAGTACGTTTATTAAACTCATCTCCCGTTCAAAGGAAAAATTAAAAAAATCATGTTTCACCATACTTTCCCTTGTGACAAATTTCCCTTGTGATGACAACATAGTAGTATTTCTAATGTGTGAGGACTAAATTTTTTTAAGTTAACAATATATGTATCTATTTGGAAAGCAACAATTATACATATGTAGAATATAAAGAGGAATTTTGCATTTTCATCTTACATGTTTTCTTTTAAACTTTTGGAAACTACAAACACATTCACATGTACCTATATATAGGGCTGCTTATCGGGCGGATTGAGCGATTATTTAATCTTAACGGTTCGACTTATTGATTATCGGCTTTTAAATGTATTAATCAACTAGCCATCCGATAAGATATCGGACGAATTGGTATCAGTTTAGCTATTATCAAACAGTTTATCAACCTAGTTGAATCTATATTACAGAGGCCTATTTTGGTCCTTCATGTTACACTGTTACTAATAAAAAGCCAGTTTACTTTGTATGTATTCCCTTACTATCCTCTTTTGGCCAACAATCTGGTCTATGTGGTGGCATTAGGATCTCATTTACCTATATATTTATAACATGCAAAGAATGAAATTGTTGGCATGTTATAGGTTTGAACAACACAAAAAGAAAAAAAGGATATTCTTCTAAAGTGGATAAGTGGAAGGGATATTTAATATATATATATATATATATAAATTCTTAACGGATTAACGGTTTATCCGATAAGAAAATTGAATAATCTGCCCCTAAACTGATAGGCCGTTAATAATAAAATTTTAATCCGTTCCCCATCCGTTAAATCGATACTCCAATATCATCAAGCAATTAAGCCACTTTTGCAATTTAACTTGCAGTTTTCACACAAGCACACAAATGATCAAAATATAGACAAGCTAAGTAACACGTGGGGAAAATAAATAACATAGAAAACGCAAAGATCGGTTAAGGTGGATCTTATCATATTAATAAATGCAGGTAAGATAAATAGTTAAATTGAAAAAAAAAAAAAGGACACACCAGTTACTGATTAAACGTTTTTTTTCGAAGGAACAATCTGCATGAGCAATTGAAAAAGGACACACCAGTTCTCAATTAACGAATATTAAATGTTCCTTTTTGATCTGTTATTTCCAGTATACTCTTTCAAGTTTTAATAGCTAGATTACCAATTAAATTGCACTACTAATATAGGTCCAAGAAAAACCTAGAATATGGAATGCATATCCTTTGTTTCGTGACGCTCAATTATCATCCTTCAAGCAAAAGCGAAACCCCATTGAAACAAGTAGCATCATTAATTAACTCATGCTTGTTTTGGTTTAGACTAAATTAGGGTTAGAAACCATTTGGTATGGACTCTAAAAAACAAACAGAATAACAATTGTTTAAATCTAATGACATTCATCGTAGAGGGCGAAATATTTTTCTATTCTATATTTGACGGTCCTTGTAACAAATTTCGCTCTCTTTGTCCAATTTTTACTTAAAATACCTTATCTGTTGATATTCATCATCCACATAATTATGAAACACAAATTATCGCAAAAACAAACCAAAAAGCAATACTCTCAAAACAATAGTATAAATTTTCCGAAAAGAAAAGCAAACCAAAAAACCATTTGTAAACCAAATTGAGAGAAAAAAAAGAAGTGAAAAGCCCTCAGATCTCATAGCTTCAGAATCACAGACGGCTTAAATCGTGATGGAGCTCATCAGAAGCCTTTCACACATCACCACAAAAATCAGCTCTATAAAAATGTTTAGGGGGAACGGGAGGAGGATGGGATTTTTTTTGTAAAAAAAATTGAATTTTTCTCGCTGATTTTCAGGTGATGCAGAAAGGCAACTGATGAATCTAAAACCATCACAGCCTCTCAATTTATATAGATTTTCCATCATCGGGCTTTTCCGAAACCAAATTTTGAAGATAACAAACTAGAATCAAACTAAGAAAATTACGATAAAAACACAAAAATGAGGCGAAAGAAAAAAGTAAACTAGGGCTTCATCTGTAAGTAACGTTCTGCGTTATTATATAGAGGCTGCAAATTTTGGAATTTGATGAAAGACCTAGGTAACGGTAATGGGTGGCCCTCTTTAGCTAAACGAATCTTGGGCTATTCACATTGGATTTGAATTTGCAGACTAGGCCTATGAGCTGCCACTACAAAACCTCTGATGTTGGGCCAAAATTGTAGAACAACGAGGAGAGAAAGTCAATGAAACTTGGGATCTTTATACAAATAATCGCCTATTAGCTATTTATTTTTGGAAACTTTACATAACTATCAAAGTTTAAAATAAATATAAAATTTTTCTTCACATAAAATTCAATATTACATATTGTGATAGGAAAATATTTATATTTGTAGCACAAAGTTCCATTAAAATATGAATATTAATTATTAATCCCTAAACATAAGCAATTTGAATGGAAAGTCAATAATCTTTTGTACAAAAATCATGCATTTTTTTGCTCTTTATCTATTAGCTTTCCTTCTTTTTCTTTATTTTCTTAATTTTGTCTTCTGCCGAAGCCAATATATTTTCTAAATTTGTTCCATTCATTTTCTTTTTAATTATCTTTCTTAAGTTTTTCTCTTCCTTCTTTCTTCCTTTCTTAACATAAAGATCTTACTTCGATAATAATATACGTTAGTATATACAAAATATATATATA